CTGCCTGCCTGAAGCCTCCCGAGCAAAACCCCTCCGACACCCCAGCAATAACCGTGCCCCAGATGGCCCCGGGACCGGGAGGGGGGCAGACGAGTTTCCCTGGTGGTGCCCAGAGTGGCCACCAGGGAAAGCTGAGGAGGGCTAGTCTCCCACTAGTTCGAATTAAGTGGCTACACAGCCCTTAATTTGAACTACTTAATTCAAACTAGGCGTTAGTCCTCGTAAAATGAGGTTTACCTAATTCGAATTAAGTGCTCCGCTAGTTCGAATTTAATTCAAACTAGCAGTTTGCCTGTGTAGTGCCTATCGATGTTAATTCGAACTAACGTCTGTTAGTAGGGCTAGTCTCCCACTAGTTCGAATTAAGTGGCTACACAGCCCTTAATTTGAACTACTTAATTCAAACTAGGCGTTAGTCCTCGTAAAATGAGGTTTACCTAATTCGAATTAAGTGCTCCGCTAGTTCGAATTTAATTCAAACTAGCAGTTTGCCTGTGTAGTGCCTATCGATGTTAATTCGAACTAACGTCTGTTAGTTCGAATTAACTTTGTAGTGTAGACATACCTTGATTTATTTTGATACAATCTGAAACCTGCTAGTGGCTTTTAGGGATGCAAAGGACTAGTCGATTAGTCAACTATTTGATAAGCAAATGCTTATCGGATAGTTGACAGGATAGTCGACTAGTCATTTCCCCACACCTTGATGCCTCTATCAAACAGAGGGGATAATTCAAAGCGGCAGCGCCACTTGGAGCCTGAGGCCAGACCCTGGGCTGACCCTGGGCTCCACGCCGAGCTTTCACCTTTGAAGTGTAGCAACAGCTGTAGGGCTGTAGCTACACTTCAAAGGCAGAGGTGCCCTATCAACTAATAGAACGGTTGATGCAAAATGCATCCTTAGTGGCCGCCCAGGAGGCCCCCAACCTGAGGTTGAGAACCAGGATGGTTAAGGACACAACCCCATACTCTGAGGCTACGTCTACACTGGCGTGATCTTGCACAAAAACTTTTTAGCGCAAGACTTCTTGCGTTAAAGTAGTTGTGCAAGAGAGCGTCTACACTGGCATGTGCTTTTGTGCAAGATCATCCTTGCCAGTGTAGACACTCTCTTGCGCAAGAAAGCTCTGATGGCCATTTTAACCATAGACCTTTCTTGCGCAAGAAATTCATGTTGCCTGTCTACACTGGCCTCTTGCACAAGAACAGTTGCGCAAGAGGGCTTATTCCTGAGTGGGAGCATCATAGTTCTTGTGCAAGAAGCCCTGATTTTATACAGTAGAATGTCAGTTTACTTGCGCAAGAACACATGGCCAGTGTAGACAGGCAGCAAGTTTTTGCGTAAGAGCGGCCGCTTTGGCACAAGATCGCGCCAGTGTAGACACTGCCTGAGTGTTTTAAGCCTCTTACTACAAGAAGCTGGGACTGGACAACATGGGATAGATCACTCAATCGCCCTGTTTTGTTCATTCCCTCTGAAGCATCTGGCACTGTCCACTCATGGAAGACAGGATACTTAGCTAGATGAATCATTGATACAACCCAATCTGACCCTTCTTGTATATATTACATATTGTATATTATCAGCTTTGTGGCCAACACTAGCATATACACGAGGAATGTATTTATAAATCAAGTACATGCATAGAAATCCTTCATGTGGAGATGGATCTATCATTCTTAATCTGAGGAGCTCCAGTCACCTTTTCAAAAAAGCCTCCTAGAGAAAAGTTTCCTCTTTTCCTTCAAATCTGAATTTCCTGCCAAATACTGATAAGCAGGACTTAATAACATCCAACCTAGAATCAGTGACAGATTTACAATTGTAGAAGGTCTCTGCAGGGCTAAATAAAGGAGTATATATCATTGCTATAGAAAGATGTCCATTTTGCTAGTGGGAACAAGCATTTGACGTTAGCCATTGAAGGTTCTAAAATGTCAGATCTGAAAAATTATATGATTTTTGAAAATACTGTTTTAGGCAATATTTACATCTCCCTAACATTTATTCATTGTAATTTCTCTCTCTCAAAAACCCTACACAGTGGGACTAATGATGACTAAGAAGCCTGGCTTTACAGGCAGACAAAGATAATAAAATAGTACCAATGAATATTTTAAAATTTTATAAAATATTTTTCTGTAAAATATGTGGCATATGCACAATTGAGGTGATAGGAAAGATTTACTTGTACTCATCTAGAATGATATGCATAATTTGCCTATAGTATTGCCATTCTCAACTCATGTTCACATAAGATTTATAATATATCTCCACTACCAGTTAGCAGATAAAGAATACATGAACACAAATAGATAACACATGATGAAGTGGTATGGACAAAAGGCATTATCAGCATGAATTTGGGATGACTTGCACAAAGTCATCAATAACTGCCCCAATGCAGTCAAAAATAGGTAAATTATTGATGGTGCTACTCCACCATCAACAATGATGGAAGCTGGAGGGTAGGTACACAGGTTTCAGGCATTCTGGTCACTGTATCTAATCTTCCAGAACACCCATTCCGCCATGTCTGTTTTAGACATTCTCTCTTGTTCGTAAAACTAGGAATGTAAAATCCTGTCTAATTAGTTAACTAGTTAAACATTATGTTTAACCAGTTAACTGATTAAATAGGAGTGGGCAGTGGAGGGGGAGAGAGCCGGGCTGCAGTACCATCCCCCACTGCAGATGGGGGGGTGGATAGGAGCACGCTCCACCTGCATCGGGCCCCAGAGGGCTGCTTCAGCCTCCACCAGTTAATCTTAACCATTTATTCAGGTCCCTAGTTCAGACCCACTGTATTTATACAATATATACGTGTGTGTGCGCGCTCTTTCAGAAAGAAAACACAGGAAGGAGCAAGAGACCGAAGCTGGCTCAGCAGTTGTAGTAAGCAGTTTGAATTGGGGTGAGAGGTTAAAATAGGGCCCAGCTGGGACCACCTCTCCCACCTAGAATGATCCAGACCTATGCAGAGGACACCCTGTCCTCTCACAAGAACCTATGAAATCTTCCCTCTCCTCCTCAGTCATGTAACCTATGAGGGGAAAAAAGCTAAAGGGAAGAGTCAGTAAGAGACAGAAGCAAGCCCAGCAGCTGCACAAAGCAGTTCAAGCAGCAGCCAAGGACAGGGCAATTTTCACCCTGAGCAGTCCTTCCCCTGTGCAGATTGGCTGTTGCTCCTAACACCTCCCTCCATCACTCTTCCTATATAGCTAACATGCTTAACATAACCCAACTGAAAGGATTTAAATAATAAAATTGCAAAGTTAACATTATTTTTACTGCCATTGGATTGTTCGCTCTGTTTGTACATTCTATTCCTTTCTACTACCCTATTTCTGTCTGGTCTATTTAGACTGTAAGCTAAATAATACCTGTATGTCTATATTTCACATATATACAAAGCTTTAGCATGGGTGAAAACTAGTGAAAGGATGAAAGCAGGATATTAAAGGGAATGAATCCTCAGGGATCTGGCTTGGATGTGACAAAGTCTATCCCAAATTGTAAACTCTCTAAGTAACCATGCCATAAACCTTAAATTACCTGTGGAGTTGTAGGTTCCAGGTCCTTAATCAGATTATAAGCCTCCTGCACGTCATCTGAAATACCAAAAGTTATATACATGACAAACCACAGTGAATTGTATTCAGAGAGACCACTCACTTCCACAACATTCCTTTACCCAGTCACAGAGGGCATGTCTACACTGGAAACTATTTTGAAATAACAAGGGGAGTGTCCACACTACCAAGCCTGTTATTTCAAAATAATGGGCTTATTATTTTGAAATAACTCTTGCTTGTGAAGAAGAAGAAGCTTATTTTGAAATAATTATTTCCAGAGTTATTATTTAGAAATACTTATTTCAAAATAACCTGGTAGTGAAGACATAGCCAGAGAAACAAAGCATTTGATGGGGAGGAGTCAGGGGACTATAAATCTGTATAAATGTATACTTGGCTGGTGGTGGCTTTCTTGAGCCTGTATAACAAACATAGTTTGAGTAATAGCTTCTTTTTAAATACATTTCCCCTAGAATAGAGATCACTTATGCCTCTTGTTCATAGTCCAGTGAATGACTTCTCAACTGTATTAGGTTAAGATAATAAATTCCTCATGCTCCTGTCTCATCCAACATGTTTATTCCTCCCCCAGGGCAAAACAAGATTAGATGCTTCTGAATACAGACTTTATAGTTTCCTTATTAATACTTCAACATTTGGCAAATTAGGGTATCTGATTCTAATTCTCCCATACAGAAAACACTGTTAGTGCAAAAGTTAAAGAATGTAACTCACACACAAAAATTATATATAAAAAAGTACTTTAAAAAAAAAAAAAAAAAAAAAGGATCCAACAGTAGATCATCTTAACTCCATCCCCGCCTCACTTTCATATATTTTCATAGGGTTTTTTTGGTCACACAATTATCCAACAAGTTAATTCTCACTAATAGCCAGGAAATCCACTGCAAATTAGCAATTGCTGATAATAAAGCAAATGAATTTGATTTTTTTTTAAAACAGAAGTACTATATAAACAGCATATTTTGTTAATGTATTTTGACAAGTATAGTTTAACTTTAATGATACTTCATTGTATAATATTGATGCATTATTTTACATCTTCAAAACACTGTACAAAAATCAAATCCCACATAATCATGAGCTACTGAGGTACAGATGAGGCAAATTATTTTTTAAATACTTTACTCTTAAATACCAAGTACTTTTGGTTCACTAGTGTATATATTCTTGCACAATTTGTAAAAGTAATGAAGTCTTAATACAAGATCTTACTGCACATCTCTGGCATTAAATCTTTGATAATAAATTAGGAAAAATTGCCATATTTATGAGACTTAAAGGGCCTATGGATTAGCAAAATGATATGGAGGTTCTTCTGTAAAGCAGGTACTGCAAATGAGTTAGATTCATTCAGGGCAATAGAAAAAGAACACACCTATGTACTAAAATTTGTCACAGCTCGTGTAATGAAGCTAAGTACCAACTGGATGTGCAGATACAGGGACATCTTTGGAAGCAATTAAATAGAAAGATGAAAAAACTCATTTGAGACAAGTCCTCTGACAAAGGGATTAAATATCAACAATCGTATTGGCATGGCATAAATGTTGCAAAAACTGGCATAACAAGCATAAGAATCAATATAATTAAGCTACAGAAGACTCACAGAGCTTTTTCTTTTCATATTTTTTTTGCCACTCAAACTCCTAGATGCACTTATTGGTATGTAAAGTTTAGGGTATGGTTTATTTCTGCTCTTCAGGTAAGAAGCCTAAAGTTTTTCTGATTATTTTGAACCAACATGACCAAGGCTATGGTGCCACTGTAGTGCTTCAATATAGATACTACACCAACAGGATGGGTTCTCCATTCCTGTAATTAATTTGCCTCCCTAAGAGATGGTACCTAGATCAATGGAAAAATTGATCACCTCACTATAGGCATGTATTCACTATCCACCAGATTGATGGGAAGCGATTGATCCAGCAGGACAGACACAATAAATCAACTACAGTAAAACTCCAAGGGTACGTCTAGACTACAGGGTTTTGTCGACGGAAGTTTTGTCGACAGATACTGTCGACAAAACTTCTGTCGACCTAGAGTGTCTAGACACATTCGGTTCTGTCGACAAAGCAAGCTGCTTTGTCGACAAAACCCTGTAGTCTAGACGCAACCCTACAGGCAATAACACCTTCTGTCGACAGAACTCTGTCAACAGAAGGTGTTATGCCTCGTAAAATGAGGTTTACCAGCGTCGACAAAACTGCTGAGTTCTGTCGACGTTTTGTTGACAGAACTCAGTGGTAGTGTAGACGCTGGTATAGTTTTGTCGACAAAAGTCCACTTTTGTCGACAAAACTCAGTAGTCTAGACACACCCCAACTGTCCAGCATCCAGTGGTCCAGCACTCCTGATAGTCCGGCACCAACTGGAACCCAGAAGTGCTCCGGCCAGCCAGACAATTGGAGCTGTTCCGCGCCGCTTCCCCAAGTCCCCTGCTGCCGCTGCTGAAACTGACCAGCTGCGGACCTGGGGAAGCAGCGCAGAACAGCAGGGGGGCTGGCGGGGTGGTCCCGCAGGGCCGCCTCTCCTCCCCGCCGACCCCTGTTCCCCCTCCCACCCCAGACCCCTCATAGCCCCCCTTCCAGTACTCAGGCATATCTGATAATCTGGCACCCCCTGGGTCCTAAAGGTGCCAGATTATCAAAAGTTTACTGTACTGATTTACCGGTTGATACCAGTATTCCACCAGAACAAGAAGCGTAGGTGGAGCTGACGAGAGAGACTCAGCTGTCAACTTACCACAGTGAAGCCACCGCAATCTGTTGATCTAAGTACATCAACTTCAGCTACGTTATTCACATAGTTGAAGTTGTTTAATTTATATCAACCGTTATATATAAGATCAAGTTGTTTAACTTATATCTGTGGTAATGTAGACTAACCTCAGATTAGGTTGTTTTAACTACATTGCTCAGGGGGGTGGATTTTTTTACACCTGTGAAAGAGATAGCTATGCAGACATAACTTTTCACTGTAGACCAGTCACAACTCTAGACAAATAGGTGACAAATCTGGAAAGTTTACTATCTGAGGCAGTCAACATTACTGCAACCTTTTTTGAAATACAATAAAACAGAATATGTGGGACACAACCATAAAGACAACGGAGATAACATCTACTGCTTTTAAATACACTGCTCTAAATAACTAGTCATGCAAAATTGATGAATTACCATGAATAAGGAAGTCAACAAGTAGAAAAGTGATCAACATATCCCATTACATATGGTGCAATTAACACCAAATCACCAATCAATCCACTTCTGAATGGAGAAATACAGTGGTGATGAGCATGAGGGGAGAGGGAGTCACTGTAACCAATAAAAATACAAAAGGAACCAAAAATAAAGACTGAAATGAGTTGGACACAGAAGAAACTTGCTTCTGCTGCCTGGGGAATCTACCTACATTCCTGTTACTACGGCAGGGGACTGGACTTGATGACCTCTCAATGACCTCCAGTGCTAGTATTCTATGATTCAATAATTGGCAAACGTATAAAGAACGGACATTCTTGTTCACAGACTACAGCCTTGTGTCGGGCCTCTTTGATTTATAGCAGGTTTGTGCCACATTTACAGAAATAGTTTTCATTGATAGGTTGCTGTCCTATGTACATTTTTAGCATGTTAACAGGCTTAAGGGGAAGGATTTCACTAGTGTAAAAAAAGGTCTCTGAACTTCTGCTGAAGTGGATTTGTTCAACCCCTTGAAAATGGTTTTTCTTCAAAAACCAAGAAAGCTTATAAGATGTTTATTTCCCATAATGCTACCAATGAAATAGCATAAAGAACGCTATGGCCTATCTGAGGAATGCTAGTTGTGAGATGAAGAACAAATGTCACAGAAAAAGAAAAGTTTCTAACCCCTGTATGTAAGAGTCAGAGGGAAATTTCTTTACCCTGCCGAAGATAGTAAATCACCAGGTTCAATCTGGCTTCAGGAATAACATCAACTAGCGGTGGCAGAACCTGCAGAGCCCCTTCCCCTCCTCGGAACACGACCTGCAGAGAAAAAAGCACCAATCTTGTTAGTCCTATAGAGTATTCCTGTATGTGGTTTCACAACCACCCTTGAAACTTCTACAGTAATAAGGGGCTGTAGTCAACAGAATCAGACATGTGAAAAGTGTCATGTAATTTTTAAATGACCAAAAACAGACAAGTCTTCAGTTTCATATAACAATTCTCTCCTTCCCAAAAGCCATATGGAACACTGATTCAGGTGTAACTTGGGAGGGAAATTTACCACTTGCTGAATCATTGGTAAAAGGATCAAAACATAATTCCACCATGGACATCAGAAGTTATGCTTAAGTTTGCTGTGACTGGATGAATGACAAAAACTTGCCATTTGCATAAGTTTCTCAATCACAATGCAACTTACTGAACAAAAAGAAGAGAATCCTGAACCTGGCAAGGGATGTGTTTTGGTGGCTCTTGTGATGGGAGAGGACAAAAGAACATGTCTTAAGAGATTTCCAGCTCCACAGGACTTTCTGGATAAACTTGAGGTTTTATAGGATTTCGCCCATTATTTGGATACATAATCTTGTAGGATTTGGAGCCATATAAGCCATGATAAGATTCATATTCTCAGAGCTAGACTTTGTTTGCTAGTTTCTGGTAGTCAAATAAGAAGAAAGCACAAGGAACATATGGATCATAATCAGCAGTCTGGCAATGACCAAAACCTGCCTGATTATGCAAGGCATGTGGCTGACCATCTGTGGACCAAGAGCCAGAGGGGGGGAGTGCAGCAGATGGGCAAACAGACCCACTTAGCCACTTAGTACAGAGGGCCGTGTGTTATCTATCCCAGACCAGGAGGCAACCAAAAGTAAGGAGAGAGAGAAAAGAACATGAATTCAGGAAGAGAACCACATTCTAAGTGGGCAAGAATAGGGCAACTCACAGAGATAACACAGTCCATTTCAGGTCGGACTGGAGCCCTGGAAAATAAGTCAGGCACAGTGTGAGTTCATAAACAGTTGGGTTCCACTGGGAGAGCAGGGGAAAGCCCCAATGGTATGACCCCATCAGTAGGTATATTTGGATTCAGCACACTCCTCTAGTGTGACCATTTTGTCTCAGGCAGGTAGAGCAAAGTGGGAGCTCTGGTGGGAGCAATGGGCTGGGCTCTAGGTAGTTTCAAGATTAGGCCTAAAGGAGAGCTCATGGGGAACATGAATGGAAAGTTATAGAACATGCCCTATTGTCTGCAGGCATAGGCAACCCTTAATGGCCAGGTGTATTCTCAGCTATTGGCTTTCCAGCTGCTAGCTCCTCAGAGAGTAGCCTTACAGTAGGCTTGTGCCCTACATTATCTACATGAAGGTGACAGGACAGCTATACCCAGTAACATATGAGCCCATGCTGATGTATTTTGACATTATATATCATGCATATAATACATTTTCAAGCACCTGATTGCTCATGTACGATGAGCATATTACAATTAAAGTAAGCTTGAACCCCACCCTGTGCTGGGATAAAATTGATAAAGGGACTATGGCTGGAGTTCATAGTTCAGAAGCACGAGAGCATACCCTTCCCCAAATGAATTGCAGTTACGTACTGGTAAAGCTGGGGTGTGAAAGGAGCGAAGGGGCTTGCCTCAAGGCACTACACACCTGAACAGCTGAGGCTTTCAAGCTGAGACTATAATGCAACAGGAAAATGTCTTCACATATAGTGTATGTTATGGAATGTACATGAACATTATGAGGTCTTCAGGCGACCCACATTTTAAGTGAACCTTCCCCCGAGTCCAAGACTGCATGGAATGGGGGCAAGGCCAACAAGGCTGAAAAAGGCAACATCTCCATTAATATGGGTGTTTTATCTCCCCCGCTCTTTAAGGAATTGTTACCCCAATATGGAGTCCAAATATTTCTGGGAGGATTTTGTTCAGGATTTCAGGGACCTGTATGAAGGGAGAGGATGAACATAATGACAAATAACCTCAGATCTGTTAAAAGCATGGAGGGCACATCTAAGAACAAGATTCAAAAGGGGGTACATTTGGGCAGAGTCAGTGTCCTTTCCCAAAGAAAGTGCCTAGCAAGTATTGCCTCACTCACTGTCTCTCGTACACAAAAGAGGAACTGGTGACTGATGAGAAATAACTTCGGGCTGTTCACTTTGCATCAGTTGAAGTGGCAGTGCACATGGTATGCTCATGTGGCCTTGCTTGTAAAGAGCCACATTAGGTTAACCTTTGACATCCACCCAGTGGACTGTGCCCTATTGGGCTTTTCCTTCAACGGTCAATTTTATGTTGGCAAAGCAAAGTCCATGGGTATGCGTGCAGCCTTTGAAAAATGCAGTACCTAAAAACATAATGGTCATACCGTGTCTAGCCCAGTATCCTGTCTTCCAACAGTGGCCAATGCCAGGTCCTTTAGAGGGAATTAACACAACAGATAATCATCAAGTGATGATCATCTCCTGTTACTCATTCCTAACTTCTAGCAACAAAGGATAGGACAGTTCAGAGCATGGGTTTGCATCCCAGCCCAACCTCACTAATAGTTATTGACAGGGGTGAAAGTAACTTAAATATCTTACAGCTACTATCCTATCACAACAGTGCTTGTAACAAATGCAAAAATACTTGTAAGAAATTTTTAAATGTGGGGTGGAGCGCCGGGGGTTCAGAGCAGAGGGTTGGGATATGGGGGTGCAGGAGTCAAGATTGGAGAATATGAGAGGCTCAAGGCAGGGGGCTGGGAAGTGCAGGAGTCAGGGCTGGGATATGAGGAGTGACTCATAGGAGTGTGGGCGAGCTCAGAGCAGGAGGAATATGGGGATGCAGGATTCAGGGGCAGGGGGCTGGGTGTGTGTAGGGATGAGTGAGGAGGGGGTGAGGGTGCCATTTTGGGAGGTAGGTGGGCTGCAGCCACACATACCGGGTCCCTATTGCTTTTACTGCTTCCTCTGATTAGGAAGTGAAGGGAAAGTGCAGAGCCCGCTGTGTTTCTCTTGCTCCTGGCTGCCCAGGAGAGGGGCGGAAGAAGAACACAGCAGCCTCTGCACTCTTCCCTTTGTTCCCTAGTCAGAGGAAGCAGGAAAAGCAACAGGGGCCTGGTATGTGTGGCTGCATTCCAGCAAAATTGGGAGGGTGGGAGCTCAGGGCTGGGGCCCTCTTCTAACATGCCTGGCTGAGTGCTTCTGAGTATAGTCCTCAGAAACTTTTCCCCAGCAGTCTCCATGTAGTCAGCCAGGGTATGTCTACACTACAAAGTTAATTTGAACTAACGGACGTTAGTTCGAAATAACTTTAATAGGCGCTACACATACAAACCGCTAGTTCGAACTTAATTCGAACTAGCGGAGCGGTTAATTCAAGCTAGGTAAACCTAGTTCGAATTAAGTAGTTCGAATTAAGGGCTGTGAGGCCACTTGATTCGAAATAGAGGGAGGCTTGCCCTCCCCAGCTTTCCCTGGTAGCCACTCTGGGCATCACCAGGGAAACTCATCTGCCCCCCTCCTGGTCCCGGAGCCCTTAAAAGGACACGGTCTGGCTACAGTGCCCGTGCCAGGTGCAAGCCTGCCAGCATCCAGCCCGCAGACCCTGCACCTGGCACGGCCCAACTAGGCACAGAAAGTGGCCGTCTAGGGCAGGATAGCTGCCAGCCTGGCCACCCAAGAGCAGGTTTGCATGAAAATCAGGGTGGTCCAGTGAGACCTCCCGACCCAGAGCCCTGTGCTTAGAACATAAGAACATAAGAATGGCCGTACTGACTCAGACCAAAGGTCCATCTAGCCCAGTAGCCTGTCTGCCGACAGCAGCCAACACTAGGTACCCTGGAGGGGGTGGACCGAAGACAATGACCAAGCCATTTGTCTCATGCCATCCATCTCCAGCCTTCCACAAACAGAGGCCAGGGACACCATTACTACC